TTTATATTAATATGTATCACTTAAGAAAATTTTAATAAAGATATTTATCTTAATTATGAAAATATAGTAGCATGTTTTTTAATTTTTGGAACCTAACCTTCCTTTTCGTACTAGTTCTTTGTTTCGCATAACACGGCAATTTTTTGGAACGTAACTACTGTGTTATACGGGGGTTACCTGTATATTGCTACAGGAATAAGAAAAATATGTACTACAAATATTGATATTAAAAACTGGAATTGATATTTACTATCAGTTTAACTACATATAAAAAGAAATTTAATTTAAAATTTTTATCTGTATGTCTGACTAAGAATATGTTCATAAAATCAAATCAGTTCATCATTGAATTATTAATGAATTGGTCATAAAATAATAATTCCATTTGGTGTGCATATTTGATGCTGACGATGTTTCAAATAAAACTCTCGAAATTCATGAAGAAAAGAGTTAGTTTACATTGCAAAAAATTACATCTGGAAATATTGACATTTCTGAGTCTACTGAAGTGTATAAGTTGTGGATTAAAGAGTGAAATAATACAAATAACTGTCCACATTAAACAATCTAAGAAAAACATTTTGGATAAGCATGCACTTGCAACATTTACAACTTTAATTTTAGAAATAGCCATTTTGTTATAAACAAATTGACCAGCATACCCAGCAAAAGAAAAATAAAACTGACATTTTTCTTATTTAACTTGTTGAACTTTACAAACTTAAGTTCATATAATGATAACAAAAATATGCTTCTAGTACATGAGAATTTAAATTCTTAAAAATTTTAAAAACTACAATGTTGTTATTTTATTTTAATCATGTCTTTGTAATAAAATAAAATATACTTTAATATTGCTACTGATTTTAACAAAAATAATAACTTGAAAAATTAGGAATACTTTGATTACAATCATTTATATACAGTAATACCCTGAACTTATGCGATAGGTGGGACTGAGCGATAACCGTGTAAGTCAAATTCGCATAAGTTGGGGTATAATTTCGCAATTTTTGGAAAATCCAAGTCAGATGTATGTAAGCTAATATATGTTCTCATTAATCTTATCTCGTCTTTTGATTCATTCAGTTACAAGAAATCACCACATAGAGTCTCTCAAGTCTCCGTAGATATAACAAACACAGAAATAAATTACACAAAATAATTTGTAGCTATGTGTCGATTCTGCGTGACACATCCGAACATGTAAGCTGAACAATAGTGTGGAAAGAGTGAGTAATCAAGATTTGCATGGCACTCGAACAAAAGACGAATCGACGAGATTTGAAAATCACGTAACTCCGGGTTCGCGTAAGTCAGGGTAGCGTAAGTCAAGGTATTACTGTATTAAACATTAATGGAAAAAATATCTCATTTCTGCATTAATATAACTATTATTTATAGAAGACATCTTGCAATAAAAACTCTGCAACATTTTCAGAACTGTTATTCTTTTAAAACAGTAGTTTTCAATCTTAACATCTATGGAATCCTCATNGGCTTTACCTACTTTTTAAAATGTTTCTAAAATTACTTAGGCAAATGTAATTAATCCAAGCAGCAAATACGGCCAGTGTGAACCTTTTTGGGATGTTTCTTTTCAATAAAATCAGTCACTTTCTGATAATACCTCAAGATTTCCTTTATCGAGTGAGATCCTTCCACGACGAAACAAACACGCGGACTGAGACCGATGAACAGAAATGAATAAAAAATGGTGCTGCAAACTAATGTAACGTCGTATGGTGAGATTTTGTTCATATCGTGGAGCAAAATTATGTTCAAATTTCATGTCGTATCCTGAAAATTTCATATGCTGGGGCGTTTGTATCCTGAGGTACCACTATACCGTGTTAATGTTATGATTGGGAATGATACATGGATTTGTGGATAATATAAATTTTCAAACTTTGGCTCTTTAAATTGATTCTTTTTGCTCCTGTATTTTAATATGAATCCCAGATTTTGATAAATTAATTTTGAGAATGAAAAGCGATTAAATGGTTTCTACACCTGAAGCGATATTTTCCATCGTTCTGCTTCATCTGAAAGTGCACTAGTAAGTTGAGAAGCTCTTTTCAATTGTGTTGCAGTTTGTGTAATATCCATTTCTAACATTCCTTGTTTCTCTAAATTCAATTTATACTCTTTTCTTAAATCGTTAATATAGCTTTCAACTTCAGCAAGTTTTAATTCTTTTTCTTTTAATGTAGCTTTAATTTCATTAAGTTCTCGTTCCACTTCTGCCAATCTGTAATAATAAGAATTTTTAATTCTTTATTTAAAAGTCTAATTGATAAATATTTAAGAATTTCTTTACTATGTACAAAGCAAACTTGGCATGTCATTTTTAAAAATTATACTTTTATTACTAATTTTTAACTTGAACGAGCTCATTATATAGTCACATACAAGTGCTATATGACAGTAATATATATTTAATATACAATTTTAAATATAAAAGAGTACTGTACATATATTGTGTTAAAATTTTCATTAAATCTAACTTCATCCAACGTATAACACCCAATCTCTCTCTATTGCTCCAACCCTCTGATCTTAAACCACCAAAATTTAATGCCATCAATGCCCCTCATATACAAGTTAGCATGCCAAATTTCATTTTTTAGTCTTTACTCCATTCTGAGATATTAAACAAAATACAGTAGATACCAATGCGCACACACACATGCTCACCTGCAGTGATAGAATTTTCCCCCAATTTTTTGATTTTTTGGCTCAGGTATATTAGACTGATCTAAAATCTACAATATCTTAAGGAATTCTGTTTACATAGAAAAGATTTTTGCAGATTGTGTAAAGAACAACTGAAACAATACAATACTTCACTTTTTGAATACTGAATAACAGAAATCACAGTACAGTTAAATCTTTTATTGACATGAGCTTAAAAAACATGTAATATATTAAACCATTCAGAATTTATATATTAAAAATATATAAAGAAATGTATTAATAAGAGCAACTATAATCATTATATTCATTTATATTTGTTTAATGGATATTTTATATTTAACTGTTTTATTATGAATTAACAATTAACAATTGTAAATTATAACTACTTCGACAAAAAATTTCATTGGTATATGTTTTTTTAAGATTCATAAATTATTCAATACTGATGAAATTACTATTAATAAAAAAATTACCTCTCTCTCTTGGGTTGAACTGCTTTAAATACATGAGCATATGAATATATTGCCTTGACCCACATACATATTGACTTACAAGCCTGTATAAATATAACAGTATATTAAATACTTAATAATTAAATAATGATATATATGTTTATATGTATTAATATAATATATTATATTGTTTATAAAATGAATTTTGCAATAAAGTTATTTCCTCTTCTCTAATGTTAATTCAAAATCGAACCTATGCTGAAATAATAATCACAACAGTTCGACTTACTTGAATTTTTATCAAATATTAGTGGTAATGATGATAATTTATATATATTTTAAAATAATGAATTAAAAATTAAAGACACTAATGTTTAAACATTATAAGTTTCCAAAATGATCAAATATTAAATTTGTAAGCTAAACTAAATCTGAAAATGTTTATTTAATCAAAGGCATAGCAACTTATTAGCAAGGATAAACATATGACCCAGTATTAAATGAGAAAAATTGCTATAAAATCTAACACAAATTATTGAGATTTTGATTTTGAGTACTTTTCTATAGTGGAAACTGTTTACTCATGTATGAGCCATTAGAATTCATCATCCAACTTTACTTCTAATTATGTGTATTTATGATCTTGTGTTTTCTTTGATCTTGTGACATCTTTGCCAATAAGTGCATGATTGACCAATTACTTTCAAATCATTGCTCTCTAACTTTAGCTTGTGTGTTCAAGTTTCACATTGTAAACAATCAACTAAAAATTTCACAGTTTATACAACAGTTGGACAGTTTTCTTTATTGTTATTTGGACTGACCATTAACAATAAATAATTAAAAACAAATCATCAATAAAAAGTTAAATTCTATGCTAATTAAATTAAAATACTAATACAGGTAGGCCTCCTACAACGCGGTACCTTTACAACACGTTTTCGTTCCAACGCGGTTGGAAAAATGCGGAAATTTTCTTACAACGCGGTACTTTTACAACGCGGTTTATGGTATTTAGAAACGAATTATCTTTCACATAACAGAAAAATCTCAACGGATCACTTAATACGCGCCACAGTTTGGTGTACAGAGCTAAATGTCCTCGAAAACAGCTGTTTGTCCACGCTGACGTGTTATTCCCATAAAAGTTTCAGGGGAAGGCCGGTTTCTAGACGGATGTGCATCAGTTACCATAAACACTCAAAATATATCACTGAATTTTCGATAATTTATACTCTTTCAATAGGTGGGGACTGTAAAAATGGTCCAAAATACAGTATAAACTTCTATTGGGTGTATATTTTTAACAACATAGTGAAGGAAAGTTATTTTTTTGCGATTTTTACTGTCCACAAAACTGCTTGAAAAAATTTTAGCCATAACAATGTCGAACAATGTCGAATGAAAAGAAAGGACCGTCATAATAAGGAAATTTATTAATATATCTCTTCAAACAAAGATAGAAATTTTGGATTGAATTAAAAATCAAGAGCGGATAGCTGATATTGGTAGGCATTTTAATTTAAATGAGTCAACTATTCGGTTGATTAAGCAATAGGAAGAAAAGATTAGGAATTCAGTCACATCCGGATCATCTATTCTTGCAAAAAATGTTGCTCGTCTGAGAGCACCTATAATAAAAAAAAACAAATGGAACAAGTGCTAATATTATGGGTAGAAGATATGAACAAGAAACGGTTGCCTTTAAATAAAAGTGCAGTTAAACACAAAGCCTTAAAAATATTTGATTATTTAAAACAAATGGGACAGTTGTCGGCTGATGAAACCAGTGTTAAATTCGTGGCTAGCAATGGCTGGTTTGAAAAATTCAAAAAACGCCATTCAAACGGCAAGTTTTTCTCTTTTTAGAACCGAATCCCAGTTTTTGTATTAAGTTGGTGTCTCTTATAACGCGATTTCCCACAACGTGGTATTTTCAAGGAACGTATCTACCGCATTGTAGGAGGCCTACCTGTAATATTAATACTGAAAATCTTAAAACACCTCTGTTTTATTCATCATCAGTTTGTACTATCAGAAATATATAATAATTCATATATATGGCCCCAAGCATTGTAAATCCATAATACATGTCTGATCATATTATTACAGACATAGACCGACTAATACTAAATCAATAATATATACTGTATTGATTTTTAAAATTTATCAAAATTTCTCTATTCCGATATCTTCATAACAATTTGCTTATTTTGAAAATAAAAGATTAATAAAGGATTGTTATGAATTGTAGGAAAAAATTTCCCAACCAATGTCAGCTAAAAATTTATAATTTCATATTCATAAATCTGAATTTATTTTTTGAAATGTATTACATTTAAACTCAAATTCAAATAATTCAGTTTGATCACAATGAAATAATGATAAAAATTTTTACAAGTTTCATAAATTTAATTTATTTGTGTGTACATTTATACAAATCTAGTCAATATTTACATTTAATATATAGCACTTACACTATTTTTATGTTATATTTAGCATAAATTTATTTATGGAAGAAATAATTAATCTTTGTTTGTAAAGTAATCAAGACATCTTTAACAGTAGATAAGTAATAAGTAGATATTCTATAACAAAGTCTGGAGCAAGTTCCTCATCAAACACTACATAATGTGAGGTCCCAAAAACGGGTTGATATTAAAGATTTATTATTAGAAATTTATTAAAACGAAACTAGAAAAAAAATTGTCTATTGTTAAAAACCGATCAAAGATCAGATTAGTTGTGATAGTTATATGAAACTGCGACGAGAGAAAAAAAAATGCTATTGATGTAAACAGAACGCAATAATTATAAATGATTAATAATTGTAAACGAACGACCGGCAGTAGGGATGGACCTTTGACAAGTCGGTCATATGCAAATAATTAGAACATTGAAATTTTGAAAAGGGGGAAAGGTTAATAACAAAAAGGGACATCACGTTAAATTTCGAAAACATCACAGACTAGACAACAATGGTGGAAAATATGAGTGCAAATTTCAAAGTTCCATCAACATTTTGCATCCAGAGTAACGGATGGTGTCAAGTAGATTCTTTGAAGCAGATCTTTCTGGTGACTTGAACAGGAATCGTCTTTCGCTTAGAGACAGAGGAGAGACCAATCGGGGAGCGAGAAAAAAAGGGACGTAGAAGCAATCAGAAGAAAACAAAACAAAGAACGGAGATTGATATAATCCCTGATTTTCAAGGACAGACTCACTTTCTGAAAACTGCACCTGCACATGGTTAGTCAACGCGCAAAAGCAGTTTTCTGTCTGTTGTGCCCAACTGGTAACCTGTGACTACAGACTCAGACTGCAGACACAGACTAACGAATCTCCACACCTGCCGTTGCCCTGGAGCTTTCCTTCGAGCAACATTAGAAACACCTTCGACAATTCAAACCTCCAATTGTATAAAGAACATTTTTGTTCCTTAGTGTAAGTTTACTTTTATGTTTAAAATAAATGGGTTTTTGTGAGATTCTTGTCATCTGTGTCTCCTCTGCCACACCCACATGTGAACGACCCTAGATCATCCTGACGCGGGATTAACAATTCCCCCTGGATGTCAGCGAACTTACAATAACCATTACAAAAGATATGGTGGTTATGTAATAGCTGACGAGGGGCTTGTTCCAAAATGCATTCCACAACAAAATACAGTAGACCCCCCTATAAAACGGGTTCCTATAATTACGATTCCTATAAGACAGCGAAAAAATTGCGACGGTATCCGTAAAAAACGGTAAAAAAACTCCTATAATTACGTAAAACGTCATCAGGCNATAATAGAAAGTTTTATTTTAATAATAAATTTAATAATATAATTTATTATTTATTATATTAGAAATATATAAAAATTCTCAAGTATCAAATTTAATATGAAGTTTTAAATTTAATTTAGGGCATATGTACAGTTCTTATGAGGCATGATGTTGTGGCTTTTCACAAGCTTTAACATTGTGAAAGTGCACAAAAAATAATCGATCTGGACTTCGTTGTTTCATCCATGACCTTAGTTTTCAAAATAATATTGTTTAAAACTGAGTGTTTTGTAGTTCTATTAGCATATAAGTTATCAGAGGAAGATGAAATATAACAGTTGTTGTAGTATAGTTAGTAAAGCTTACGGCTTCCACTCTAAGATCAAAGGATTGAATCCACAAAGTATTACTTTTTCTTTATTTTTTTCCTTAATTCTCATTTATATGTTCTGAATTGTTTTAATATCCTGGTACATAAATGACACAAGATAAACTTTTTGACATTATATTTATTGAAAAAGCACAAAAATACTATATATATTTATGCAAACTGCTTGAAAATAGCAAAAAAATGTTATTTTTTTCAATGCAGTCAATGAAAATAGTCTTGCATAAGTATGAAAGTAATTTTCTTGAGCTTTCATTACCTAAGTTCCAAAGAACATACAACAAATTGAAAGAACAGCAAACAATCAAGTACCAATAAGTATGCATTTTTGACTTACTACAACAAACAAAACATTGTGGATGCTTTAAACATTTTTTTGAAAAATTAAAGTTAAATATTATAAAGAAACTGATAAATGAGTCAGTAAGCAGGAAAGTGAAAGTTCTGGGAAAAAACTCGCCAAATGGATTATAAGAGTTTTAAAAGACTAAACTTTTAATGAAGAGGGAGATTTATTTTTGCTACATGAAGACATTATGGAAAAAGATGACAATATAGAAATATCACAGACCTCACTGTATGAAATATTTTTGTTTGCATATTTTTAAATGTCTCATCCAACACATTGTATGATTTAATACATAATAACAAATTCCTACTTTTCTATAAAAAATATTGTTTTATTTTTGATTATTATTCATTTTGTTTTGAAAACTATAATGAATACATAAGTCTTGTCTCATTTACCATATTTATTCACATATAAGACGACCTGGCATATAGGACGAGGTATGACTTTAAAGATCAAAATAAAGAAAATTAGATTTATTAATTCAATTCTAATTTTATTTCATTTAATCACAAGTAAAATATCATAAATGCACACATTATCCTGCAAAAATTACTGGCATTTTAAACTTTAAGGAAAAATCTTGTAAAATCAACA